GATCACTGTGTAAGGATAGCCAAGCTGTCTACCTATCGCCTTATAGGACATACCAGCGGAATTCATGCCAATAATTTGGCCTCTCTGCGCCTCTGATATCCGTCTTCTTGTAAGAATACTTAAAATGATTTTGCATTCAGAAATTCGGGACTTAAATACGGATTTGATGCACGAGAAAATAGTGCATATTGGACGTGAAGAAGGGAGCAAGTTGCACGTGGGGAAAAAAACGCGCCTGATTTAAATGTCACACCTGAACGCTCACATCCTTTTAATTATGTTTGAAATTTTGAACATTGCTCAACATCATGAAAATTAAACCTTATTTTCAATAAGCAATCCTGAAAAATATTTGGGGGTGCTTAACTTTTTTCCAGGTGTATATATGTATGTAACATCACATATTTAACAAGCATACTGAAACATTTGTGAACAAAACTTCAAGATATACTAATATGCTATTTACACAAACTTCTTAGTTTATAAAATATTGACACATAGCTCAATGTAATAATACCTGCCATATATACTTGTTCTAGTAGGTTATTAGTCACCATAAATGCAACATAAGGGGCATTTTCCAAAGTAATCAAAGTTTCTTTATCTTAGAAACTATACAAAACATATCAAGCACTTGTAATCCGTAACAAAATTGACTGTCCACCACTGTGCTGAATATTAGAACCTGACCTTCACATACCACTCCCCTACAGAGTAAAACTGACGTGTTACCTTTAATATATGCAAGTAAAGACTTGTAAAGTATCACATATACTCAAGCAATCGGAGTTCCCCCATCATACAGGCCTATATAAACTTAGATTCAAACTAACTAAATACACAACATCTTTCTTAGGTTGCATCTGAATGAGATCTAATGTCAGTACTCGATTTAGTAGTGTTGGATGTAACTGTACCAAAGTAACCATTAAAAAGGTATATCGATTATTAATGTTACATCATTTGTTAATGTATTTATCGTTAGATATGACATTTCCAGCCAGAAATGTTTTGGGTAAAAGTGTATCAAAATATCGGTTAAAACAGTATATCAGTTATTAACGTTACATTATTTATTAATGTATTAAATTTTAGATATGATATTTCCATATCTGAGTTTAAATGAAAGATACTGAAATATAAATTGAGAAATTAAAGGTCACATAATTGTTTTTTCAATGTAACTAATGAACAAAGGTCAAACTTATCATGGACTGGCAAGTTGAAATATCTCACAGCCTCATACTCTATGTGTGACCCGTGACAACCTTCTAACAAACACTTGTCTTGACGCCAGTGCCCACACTGTTTGCATGTGTGTGTGATTTCCTAATAGACAGTCTTAAAGTTTGGTATTTTAAATAATAGTAAAGTTAAACAGTAAGTCATTTATTATATTTAGTTGTAGGATGATAAAAATAAATTATTGGTTATAATCGCATTCAAATAATATGTATGTTTTACTTGTGAAAGCAAAACAGTAAGTGACCTACAGAACTTTGTCTGAAAAAAGCTATGAACAGTTTAGAAAAGTATTCCATACTTTCACAAGACATGTGTATGTATAGATCATGAGGTGATCATTGTCTAATAGCGTTAGTGTTAAGCGTCCTTTTTAGGATGATTTAAGTGGTCAGGAAATTTAGTGTTTTAAACAAATTAAATATAGTAATATTGAGAGATGTTGATCACATTTGTACTGTTTCTATTTCGTGGAACTATGACATCATGGCAGTCTGTCTAATATCGAACTATAATTTAAACCCTCCCTAAGTTAACCATGCCCTTGGTAACACTTTGTGGAACTATAACGCCATGACCGCCTAGATGCATCCCTAATAACGCTCCCTATGGTGTCCAATTGTTGAACTACGAGGTCATCATTCTTAAAATTAATTAGATGTAAATACAATAATATAAATCAAGAATGGGTTACAGATCTTAAGTATAGAGAGATTTGACAGAAATTAAACACTACTTTATTAATTGTATAATTTTTACATTTCTGTGATAAAAATACTGTCAAGACACATTACATCACTTCAACCTTCGCTTCACAAGTCCTGTAGCTTTAAATTACCCTGACTATATGCACAATTTTGCGTTTGTTGTACTTAATGTTTACTAATTTGCAATCAATTACTCCTTCAACATGCGTAATGAAAACTACATAATATCAGTTCTCTGATATTGCCTGATTGGAACAGTGACATTATTTAAACAGACATCTGGAAAGCTGTCTAAAATTATTCTAAGTTTCATTCTGAGAGGACGAGATATTTCTGCAAATCTATTGCTTTATTATGAAAAACTGTATCACAGAACTTGAGTTGGATATTGTCTTTGTTTCGATAAAGAAATTGAAGAAAGAAATTTCCTAAGTTTTAGAAAAATGGTATAGTACCATTCTGTTTTCTAAACTTTATTAAACTTAGTATTTTAATTGGTTAAATTTAACGATTTATAGAGAGCAACACTTAACTTGTAAGGCTTACCTATAAGTTACCCCAATGATATTATTACAACTTGGCTTTTAACCTTTATGGGCTGGGTACGACGGAGTTGTTAGAGGTCTTGGGCTGTAAATCCAAGGGTTCAAAGTTCGAGTCCTGTTGATGCAAAGCACTATACCCATTGATAGCCAGTATTGCAGCATAAGAGTGACCATCAAATCCTGCTGTTTGGACAGACAATAGTAGTCCAAGAGCTGGAGGTGAGAAGTATTTACCTGTTGCCTTCACTTTAATTTATTGGTCCAAAATTACGGATAGCTCTTATTGTAGCTTTGTGGAAAAATTCAAAACAAATAAACAAAGAAACTTAATCCTAAAATTACTGATTGGATTATATTGAGTAATACTCATTGTTCCGAAGTGTTTGTTTGTTTTTGAATTTTTTGCGCAAAGCTACACGAGGGCTATCTGCGCTAGCCGTCCCTAATTTAGCAGTGTAAGACTAGCGGGAAGGCACCTAGTCATCACCACCCACCGCCAACTCTTGGGCTACTCTTTTACCAACGAATAGTGGGATTGACCGTCACATTATAACGCCCCCACGGCTGAAAGGGCGAGCATGTTTGGTGTGACGGGGATTCGAACCCGCGACTCTCAGATTGCGAGTCGAGCGCCCTAACCACCTGGCCATGCCGGGCCTGTTCCGAAGTGAACAAAATATTTGAAGTCATTCATTTGCTATGTAGAATACATTGAATGATCCCAATATTAATTACATATGTGTATTTGTAATTGAAGGTATTTATCCTAAAAGTTTTTGTTACTCATATGTTATTAGGATTGTCTATTAGTTGTGAAGCAGAAAACTACACAATAGGCTATGTTTTCAATGTACTCACCAGGGGTATCGATATCTGATTTTTAGAGTTATAAGCTCTCAAAATTCCCAAAGAGCCATATGAGGGTTTTTATTAGTAGGACTGATATTCTTGGTTCAGAGATTTGGTCATGTATTTAGAGGAATATGACATCTAAAGCCACCAGAAGCAATTCAAGAACTACAGTACATAACTAATACTTGAAACCCTCGGTACTTGGTGAAACTCCATAATTACAAAATTGAGGGGAAAAAAAAGACCAATTGAACGTTTCAAAAATACGTCATTTATCACGACCATGGTTTCACCATGATGCCTTTACTGGCAAAACCATGGTCGTAATGAATGATGTGTTTCTGTAACTAAAGTACATATCATGATGTTGTTCAAACACGTACTTTCACCTTTTATTAAATTAATGAGGAACTGAAATAACCTGTATGTAATGAATAATTCTTATCATGTATATGAAATGATACATAATTGTAAGTGTTTTTTTAAACTTAAACATTTACCATTTAAACGTATAACTTTCAAAATTGCATTACTTAATTGATAACAATAAAACAGGCAAATATAAACGAACATGCATTTTATTTATTATCAATAAAAAGGTAAAATTATTCCCAATTACTACTATTTAGCTGTAAGCCAAAATCAATTCCTAAAACATATTATAAAATAAAGTATTTGTTTAAAAAGCATATATCTTTCAAAAGGTTTTGAAAATTTTGTAATGCATTTTTACAATAACAATTAACAGCACAGAGTGATAACCTTAATCAATAAAATCATACATTGTTAACCTATAGAAAATTGCATAAATTCATTTACTTTCACAAACTGAACATTATTTTAAACTCATATTCTTAATATTCTATATTATAATTTCTTTGCTACAAAATTACAATGGCAAACACACTCATAAAAAATTTAGAAATAATTATGAAAATAACAAGTGTTTTATGTAAATCTTTTAACGATTGACCAACAAAGTTGTCAATGTTTGAATATGAACATTATTTCATTCTTGCCCAAGGCCTAAAATTAGTAGAGAGATATAACAAGTTCATGCTTATATTTCTTAACATTACGCTGAAACTTCGATTTTTAACTTATATATCTGTTTTTGTATACTCTATCCAATAATATTCATAAATCGACCCTCGTGTTTTTTATTAATAGCAGTATATTTCATTATGAAAAAAAATAATTAACAATAAACTTAGGAGTCTAAAAATTCGAAATATATATGAAAAAGAATAAAATTGTAGAGAATAACATATAAACACTGATGATGCATTATTAATATCAAGCCACACTTGCTACGAATATGAGTTCAGGTACACCTATCTGGAACTGAGAATGTATATTACATGAATTGTAAAGTAAAAGCAACAACTTTTACCACAGTTAACAGTTTCTTGGTTATAACTAGCTTACTGTGCTCCTTTTATTCATACTCTCTTACAGTGCTAAGAATTTCTCCTTTTTCTTGTAGTATTCTCCAATCCTGCATTTGGCATATCTATTCATGCATAAAATAATAAAGGTTATAAATTAAAAAAAAAACATTTAAATTATTATACTGAGTTGCTTGAAAGAGATATACTTATGTATGTAGTTTATATAATGCTCTTTCAAATATATATCACAGTGCATTAGATGGTGTACAATTAAAAAAACTTGCTTTACCCAAAAAAGTCAATTTCATCAGTAAATTCAGAAATTGTACTGCTTGTACATCACTCCAGATCAAAGATATAGATAATAAAGAACAAAAGTCCTAAGAGAAATCTCCAAAACCCCACCAGCCACATTTTTCCACACTTCAACTGTGCCCATACATAACAAATATTTGTGCTACCTTTAAGATAACCTTTAATTTACCTTTTGAGTTTTTACTTTATTTTGTAAGAATCTAACATTCTAATTATAATCATTATGAGCAGCACATTCACTACAAACACAAACAAACAGATAGAAAATTTTACTAACTGCTAAAATTGTGAGAATGCAACCAAAATCATATTCCTATAATTCATTTATGCTCCAGAGAGATGTTATAAGTTCAAGACTTTAGCCTCTCCACTAAAGGCAACTAAACTGATTCAAGTATCATTCTAGTAGCCTGTCTCTATACACTATTTCTGTAGTAAGGTGACCAAAATTGAACACAATACTCTGAATGAGACCTCACCCTTTGTCTTATACAAGCCTTTACAATTATAGTTTACATTTAGAATTTCTATAAATGGGACGAAGAACTATTAATGCTTTAAATTAGAGTTAAACACTGAGTTAAAGGGTTTAGGGTTTTATTAACAAGCAAATTAAAATCATTTTCTTTCTTTTTTTTTACCACTCTTCTCTCACTCAAGAAATACATTACTTGTAAATAGGTCTATACTACACATGCAAACTTTTCAAAACGAAGAAACCACACCGAGTCAAATCTGTTATAAGTACAATATCTATTATTAATGAAATGTCTATATAATCTTTATGTTTTAGTTAAACTTGAGAAAAGAAACTGTGTTAGTTTGTGACCTACACTGGATGTGTCAAGTCCAGTTTTATCTACATCTACTCTGAAATACCTGCACCAGATTTTATAGCAGAATTTTTCACATGCTCGCTGAATAAACAATTTCACACAAATTCTTCATCATTATCAAATTCTTTCCAGATAATTAAAATAAAAATCAGTCTGCTCCAATAATGCTGATAACATAACTAATTCTTAGTAAGTTTTCTTACTGGACCTATTTTCAGCTTTTTAAATAATTGTTATAAACCAAAATTTAAATAAAAATTAATAATTGTTACAAATTTTAAATAAAAAAACTTGCACATGTGATATTTTTAAGAACTGGAAATTTATTCCAAATTTATATAGTTATCTAAACTATACAAGACCTTATTGACATACATCTAAATATTTGGAATTTAATCATGTACTGTAATTTTGTGCTTATGCCCTTCTTCGATGTTATCAATGTTAGCAATATATAATGTTGAGTGTAAAAACTTTAAAATGGTTTACTAAATGCTGTTAGTACTATGTTTAAATCTGTTTACAAATTTGTTGAATACCTACATTTAGTTTGGTTTTTAATGGCTTATTTAACCAATTTGAAGAGGAAGAGGAGACTGGTCTAGTGGACTTCTCACCTTGATAATTCTTGTGCTTTTACTTTACATTAAACACACGTTTTTGATATGATCATGTTTCTTCCATGATGTTTCTTATTATGTGATTGTTGATTACTAGCCATGAGAAGCACTTTTAATCTGAACGATAGTATGCAGCTCTTGTATTTTTGGGATATGTTTTTTAATTTGTGTATAAAAGTTGTATCACTCGTAATCACAATATGTCTACATATTCGACACAGATTTGTCATAGTGGAAAGTTCAGAGATAATGATGTGCTACCACACATCTTAAAGTAATATTCATTACAGAAAGCATATTTGGTATTTTTATGATTAGCCAAAAATGAACAAACCACTTTTTATATTTATAGTTCTTGAAATAGAATGTCTTCTCATGGGACTCTTTCCAAGCTTAAAGGTAAAAGCATATATGACCTACATTAAGGATAGTTTATAATAAGATTAATCTGTTATGATTTCATTGCAAGAGAATATCTCATCCAGATATCTTTACTACAATGGAGTAATGGCATGGCCGTCTATATAACTATCTATGTATGTGACCAATGGTGTCATCTGCTGTACTGAAATACAAGATCTCAATGCCAGGAGCAGTGACTGAAGCTCTTGAAGTGTAGCATCATCTATTGAATGGTACCAGAAAATTTCACACATTGGGTATTCAACATTCAGACAATTATAAAAATAACTATGGTACGTGCAACAACCATTTCGTTATAACAGAACACAAATTTAAATAAAGGTACTCTCCTCAAAACAAGAACACGACTTTCACGCTTTCACTAGACTGTACGTGAGGTTTTAATTATGTCTTTATTGATGTAATTTTTAAATGTAGTACTGAGAAACTGGAGTTCTTAAAAAACAATTATTTTTTCATTGAAGGGTACCACTTTTAATATAGAAACACATTACAGTTTATATCAGTAAAATTTATGAAAATTGTGAGCTCTGTACATTGAATCAATTTGATGCATTGAGTTGTGCATGACTAAAGAGCATAATTTTCACTTTTGTAAAATTTGTTTACAATGAGATATGAATACTATGGTTACTAATTACTAGCACAAACGGCTGTTCTTAGGGCGTCGTTTCTGCTAGTAAGTTATAAGAAATTAAAAATACAGTTAGCTTAGAAGCTACAAATAGCAATAACACCCATTTAAGTAGTACCACCCAGAAATTCTTTACATGGATACAATTCTGGCTGGTAAGATTCCAGTCCTGACGAAATTCATAATTTCATGTTACAGAGAGTCTAAATTTATGTAGCTCAATTTAAGAATAACTAAAATATGTATCATTAATTCACAGATTGCAGATATAACCACTGATCAAGTAAGTTTGCAAAATCTTTCTTTAAATCTTATTCAATACCAGATTCTGAGCTATGAGGTTCGATATCAACAGCATAATAAAATAAAAATTTCATTTTTCCATTAAAATTAGGAAAATGAAATTTGCATCTATGAAACTTTAAAAGTATATTATATTTGTTCTTTTGTGTTTGTTATGGAAAACCATTATGGTCTATGAATACATACATTATATAGATTTAGAGAGGCTTTGGTATATTATAATAAAATAATTTTGAATAGGCAAATCAACAAGTCATCTGATAACCACAGTCATTAAAAAGATGCGATGAAATGTATTAGAACTACATTAAAACATTGTTTAGTGTTTGGAAAGTAGTATGATGCCACTTAACCCGATACTTGCAGGGGCCATTTTGTCTTATTGTGAGGGCAAAATCATTTGTGAATTGAAAAAATGATAGAGAACCCATCTTTTATTGGATTTCTG